TACACACAGTAACAACAGTAACAACACAATAAGTAAGGAGAACAACCTAGACATATATATAAAAAAAGCAATATAAAATGCAAATATAAAATGTATAAATAAGCTGTATATTTGTAGTGCAAGCTTATTTATACATTTTATACATTTTTTTATTTGCATTTTATAAATATATATATGATGCAATACAATACAACATGATGCAATAGAATATGACACATAATTTGTTGTTTCTGGAAATGTGTCAGTGCAGTGGATCCATCATCATAACACAAACATAATTAAAAAACATCAGTGGGAGGACCTCATTATTATAATGCAATAAATGATTTTCAGTCTACCCCAACATTATTATATCTACACAATCACAAATGGCAGTGAAGACATTGTACACATGAGCAACATTGTGTTGCTTTGGCAGGTTTACGCATAGATACTGCTGGCTTTACTTTACAATTGTAGGAGAAAAATATGAATCCAGACTTTCATTTCAAATCTGGTGCACTCACAGAACTTCTCTATGTCCCAGCTCAGGCCGTGTTTGCCCGAGGGATATCAGCAGTGTGGGAGAATTATATATGCGTGGGTAAGTACTGGGTGAAATATATTTATGTGTATATTTAAAATACAGGGCAAAACTCTAGCGTCTCTTTCTCTCCCTCTAGGTGTTTCATCTGGTTCAATTCTAGTATTTGATGTTCCCAGTAAAGGCAGTAATATCACCCTATCTGAGGTCCTGGAGGAGCACAAGGAGTCCATTACTGACATGGCCTCAGAGTGCTCTGGCAGCCAGGTATGGAGTGTGTGTGTGTGTGTGTGTGTGTGTGTGCTTGTTCAGTGTGTGCACCGTCTGCAGTCTGTCTGTCTGAACCTTTGTTGATACAGGATAGCTCTAACTTTTCCGTGTCTACCTGAATAAATTACGGCTTTATATAAAACTGCTAGGAACTGCTACCATTTTATGATTTACATTGTTCCTTCCACTCTCTCGCTGTCTCTCTCGCTGTCTCTCTCCCCTCAGGAGTGCATCGCTGATCTGGTCAGTGCAGATGATGGGGGCAACCTGTGTGTATGGAAGTCTGGGGAGGAATTTCAGCTGCTCAACAAGATCTCTGGGTTTGAGTAAGAAGTTGATTGTATTATAGTTTTGTAATTTTTGGTGTAAACAAAGCAGCACAATGACAGCCAACCAATAGTGATAGAGTGACCGATGCTGATACTCCATCATCACTAACCCTCAACTCCTACTCTTACTTTCCATTGTTGTACTTATCTACTTTATGTTCCCTTTCCACTGTCCTTTGTTCCTGCTTCATTTCCCCTCCTCACTCTAATGTAATGTCCATTATCTTTTCCCTTTTCTCCCTGATGGCAATGATCCTCCATCTTCCTCACTGCTCTCAGTATGAGCTGCTCATCTGTCAAGTTGTGGAAAGGTACAGTGGTGGCAGGTTACGGGACAGGCCAGATCCGTCTCTATGAGGCAGTAACGGGAATTCTGCATGCTGAGGTCAACGCCCACGCTCGCTGGATATACTCTTTAGACATTGCTCCTTTTTCTGGGCTGGTGAGTATAAACCAAATTAATGAGAAATATTTTTCTCTCACTGACCATTTACTGTGTGGGCATTTATCTTTTGAAGCTGCAGAGCTAACAATTGGAAGGGATTCGTAGATTTAGCTCTAAATCACGTTCAGGTGGTTGTAAAGGAATCTTTGGGCATATCTCATACAACTGGATTTAAGTGACAGTCTGCTTGTTTGGTTTAGCTACTGTCTGCTGCTGAGGACTCTCTAGTCAGGGTGTGGCACCTGACCATGACCCCAGAGACCAACAGTGTGGAGGTAACTGGTCTTAAAACAGTGCAAAGCTTGTTGTCTTAATAATTCCAGAATTGAGGCACAGTGTATCAGGTCATTTGTCTCTTAGACCCTGACTGTGTGTCTCCCTTCCTTCCTCTTAGGTTGCTCATTTACACAATGAGTGTGTGACGGACACACAAATCTGTGGCGCCAAGTTCTGTGACGGTGATGGTTATGCTTTTGCAGTGACAGGCTACGACCTGAGTGAGATTATTCGCTACACCCAGTCCTAGGACTTTGCTGTCAGTGAGGCTGAGCATATGAATGTGAATTTAGTATACTGGAGTGTTTCTGGAAATATATGATGAATTCAGAGAAAACAAAGTCAAAAGTGGTATTTAACATAATCTTTTTTGGGAAAAGCATTGTTTCATGACATTTCTCTGTCTATATAAGGTTATAAGAAGATTAGCATATAACAAAATAATGCAAAAGTAATATGTTAAAGTGTTAATGTATGTGAATGTTGCTTTAAGAAATACAATATTCTATTATTCTTTTTAAGATAATTATTGTTATTATTCTCTCTGATAAACTAACTGTACCAGTAAACATTTTTGTAAAGAAAGTTGTTTTGTTTGGGTTTTAAATTTGCACTTCACAAATGTACCAACAGATGGGGCTGTGGGTTAATTATGTTTGAGCAGGACCACAACAGTGTAGTGCAAAGTTCACTAGAGGGCAGGGTGGTGTTGCCTAATAGGTTTTGGACTGGACTGAAGACAGACTATTGGAGAAACTCCACATTGTGATTGGACACTGTGCGCAGACCTCAGGTCACTCATGTCAGCCAGTAAACATGGGCATGTTGCAGAGGAAGGTCTTAAACATTTTCTTTTCATTATATTGACTAATTTCCTAGATGGC